CTCACTGCAACCTCAAACTCCCGGACTCAAGTGATCCTTCCACTTCAGCCTCCAGAGTAGCTGGGACTGCAGGGTTACACTACCACGCTCGGCTAATTTTTCTATTTTTTATAGAGACAGGGTCTCGCTCTTGCTCAGGCTAGTCTCGAACTCCTGACCTCAACCAATCCTCCCTCCTCAGGCTCCCACCACACCCGGTCTATGAAACTGGTATATTCTTTCTGTTCATGTTTTTATACTTTTACTATATACATATATACCAATTTGTATTAATATTATGTAATATTATTTTGTGTGTTTGTAATTTCACATAAATGACATGACTTTGTATTTATTGTTGTCTATCTTATTTTTATATATCACGATGTATTTATCCGTTCTGTCACTACAGGAAATTTAGGTTGTTTCCAGTTTTTCCCTGGAATGAACATCCTTGTACGTGTTCCCCTATATGTGAGGGCTTCTCCAGAGGCTCTTAGTAATTGTGGAATAGCTGGATTTCAGGAAATGTACATCTTTACCTTAACTAGAGATGGCCAACTTATTCCTTGAAATGATTGCTCAAAGTATGTTCCCCTCAACACTGTATGAGAGTTCCTGATCCCTTAGGCTTGTTAAACAGTTAAGTTTTTGTCAACCTAATGAGCATTGTAATTTTCATTCCCTGATAAACTGTGAAGCTTCTTTCAAAATGGCCAGGCTCTTCTTGGTCAGCTAGAAATTTGTCTCTCATCAACCAGTTAACACCAAGTCTTCCAGGAGGGCATGTAGGAGTCAGGCAGAGAGAATGAAAGCGAGGACAAAGAGCTACTGCCAAAGACAGATCAGTCTGCGGTTAAGATAACGTACACTTAGAGTTATAGTCCCTGGGACAGCATCAGTGATTTTTTAAAAATTGATTCAGAATGATTTTACAAGTATGTGGTAGAGAGCCCTTTGCTAAGCACCTTTGCAGATTTTATGTCATTCATGCATGTAAGACCAAAAAGGAATTATCAGTAAAACTATAATCAGAACTAGTGCTAGGATACAAACTGGACCCCAGGGTCCTGGTTCTTTGCCATGGCAAACAGATGATAGTAACTTGGGGGCGTTTGCAGTGTTCACTTAGGAAAAGGGAACATATGTTTAGTGGAAGGTAAACATGTTGAAACGGGTAGCTCAATTTATTTGTTTAAGGAACAGGAGATGGGCTTCTGTGCTAGGGAAAAGGTGTGGACTCAGACATACCCAGCTCTGCCCTATGCTACCTCTGAGACTCTGTGTCTTAGTTTGTTCACTGTTAAATAAAGATAACTCTGTCTTCTTCACAAAGTTGTTACAGGATTCAAAGTAACAACTATTTCTAGTATAGTGACTGGTGCATATAATTTATCTTAGTAAATTCATGATTGCAACGAGATAATTGAGCAGCTATTACATGCAGGCATTGCTGCGAGTGCTGGACACACACCAGTGAAGAATTAGACCACGTCCTAGCTGTCAAGAGCTCAAATTCTAGAGAGAGGAGACAAACAATAAATAATCCTATATATGATATGTCCGGTGATGTATGCAGTTGAGAAAATTAACGCAGGGTAAAGGACAGAAAGAATGAAGGGGGACACCTAGCAGTCAATGCTGCTCTCTCTTCCTGTTCATTTACAGGGTATCCTGGGGGTTAATCTTCTCAGAGTCATTTGAACTTTAACTTTCTTAAACTGTGAAATGGGAAAAATAATAATGGAATAGCGTGTGGTATGTATGTATATATTTTTCAATTTATTTATTTATTTAGGCAGAGTTTCACTCTGTTGCCCAGGCTAGAGTGCCACGGCATCAGCCTAGCTCACAGCAACCTCAAATTCCTGCGCTCAAGTGATCCTTCTGCCTTAGCCTCCAGAGTAGTTGGGACAACAGGCTCGAGCCACCACGCCCAGCTAAGTTTTTCTATTTTTAGTAGAGACAGGGTTTGTGAGTGGTTATTTAATTTGCTAAAATTAAATATGAGAAAGCCTTTCCAAACTTTGATTAAAATTTTAAAATAAAGAGGAAAAAGGCAAGATTTGTGGAAGGCATACTGATTTAACATTTATAAAATATTTGAACATTGTCTAAAATTATAGGCTTTAGTGATGTGAAAAGGGTTTCATTTAAAAAAAAAGCAAATGTTTATGTAAACAAAAATAGGTACAATAGAAAAAACGATGGGCAGAGACTCTCAGGAGGCCTAGAATGTAGTTTAGTCTCTGTTCGCCCATAGCTGTCAATATCATGAACCTCTCTCTGCCGTAGTTTCCTTGTCAGTAAAATGATGCTCAAAAGCCATCCAATTCTGTAGTTTCCTTTCTCCTGACACTAGTACTCCCACTTTTGTTTTCGAGAACTGAAACACTGATTTCTGATTTTTTTTTTGGTAAATCTGAAGTTGGACTATAACAATTTCTTTTTGGATATAGAAGTTTCCTTTGCAATAAAGTACAGTTTCTGTTCCTTCTCAGCTTCTTTCTTTTTCTGGGACTGGGAACAAGTTAAAAAATTTTAACAATCCCCAGTCTCCCAAGACTTTGAAAAGCCTTAAATAATATCTTTCCTGTGATTTCCTCATGCCTCACTTCTGGCCACGGCCACTATTTTGGGTATGTATGTTAAAATGATCAATAATGTGATATTATTGGAAAATCACCAAATCATTTCAGAAGTAAGTAGAATGTTAAAATTGTGTGCTAAGATTCTTATTCAAACATACTTTTTTCCTTTTGATGCTCTTGATATAAATTATCTGTTATTGTTATTTTAAAAGTTGCATTTTTTCAAATACTTTTTCATACTTATTTCAGCTCGTCAGAGAAGATGGATGGGGCTTAACAATTAATTTTTAAAAACAACATTGCTTAAAATATTGTTTTAGCATGTCTAGCAGTTTTCTAATGTTGCCATTTGTTTTACATTAAGGAAAAAAAAACTCTCCTGCCTTATTCAAAAAACATTTTCACTAGATGGCCTCAGTTTTTGTTTTTAATATTCTTGCAAGCACAATCAGATGGCAAAGTAAGCTGACACATTGCCTTGTATTTATCTTTCCAATGTCAAACCCTAAGAGAAGACAGTATTCTGCACACAATTTTCTGTTCTGAGATTCTGAGGTGATCTGTGAGATAGTGCTGTTACCCAGTGAATGCAGACCAAAATGCCAAAGATTAACTTCAGCACTTGCAAAATATCAAGAGCATTTGCCTTTCTAATCTTCTCTTGGTGTTAAGTTCTCCATAGAACCATTAGCCATGAGAGAGCCTTGAAACCTCCCCAGGTTTTTCAAAGAGCTGACCAGCTAGAACATGAATTTACAACTGTCCTCCTGATCACCTAATTATTCTTTAACTTCACTTTCTACCATTATCAGTTATTTACTCAATCTATTAATACTTATTAGCATGTGTGATATCCATATATGCTGATGGCACCAACTTGTCTGTGTTAAAACACCCACCCCCTTCATCACCCTTACTGATGTCAACATCATTGAGGCTTTTCTTCTCTCTTCCATCTGTGTCCAATCCCCTTCCACTGAGTGTCAACATCTCCAAGTTGCCCCACCCCAACCTATCCTATAACCTGCTCCAAGATTCACCTTCTCGGAACTCCCTTGCATTCTGAAGCTCCCATGCCCAAAGCCTTTAAGAGCTTTTGAAGGCTCCTACAGTAATCTCCAGTCCTCTTGGCCTGACATCCAGAGCCCTTCATAACCTGGGGACAGCTTCACAGCTCTGACCCATCCCAACCTCAAGTCCCACCCTATTGTCTCTTGCCCTTGGATGTTCTCCAGACATCTCCTTCCATTCTTCAAGGTCCACCTCAAGCCACATTTTGAAATCTGATCACCTTCCTTATTTTATTAATAGTTTATGATGATTTCTTTCCTACTGTCTCTAAATATATGGACTACCCATTTATTTGGGCCTAAATCATTCACTTATACTGAAAATTGATAAGTGTAAGGGCTTGTTAGTACTTTATAAATGGAATAATAGCGATGAAATGAACTTTAGATATCATTTAATTCAGCATTTCCTGAAGCACGGGAAAATCCCCTTCATCATGACTCCCTCTCGGTGAATACTGACAAGGTGCTGTGCCTCCAAATGTGGCCTTTTCACCTTTGAATTGCTCTTGTAATTAGAGGCATCTGCTTTTCAAGGAAAGAAAACCCCACTCATCCCATTCTAACCACGTGGAAATTTAGTGCCTCCAGAAAAAAAAGAATTCCCTTATTCCCTTGCTATCCCATCTGAATTGAGATTTCCCTGAGTCCAATTTAAATCCCTGGTGCCCATCTACTGGCAGAACTAGAGTAAGCAGGGTCTGCAGTTCTGCGGTGTCAGCATCACCTGGCAGCTTGTTGGAAACGCAAATTCATGAGCCCCAGCCCAGACTCGACTGAATTGGAAATTCTGAGGGTGGGGCCCACGAATCTGAGTTTTAACAAGTTTGACAGGGACTGCATCTCCTATATGAAACGGAAAACAGCTGGCCACCCACTGTATCTTCGCATAACAAAAAATTGTTAGTGTCACTAGGCCACCTTTTCTTCAACTGAATAATCCCTATAGCCCTATCTCAGTTTGTTTTTCCAGCCATCGGGTCACCCACATATTCCACATTCGTCAAACAGGTGAGGGCACAGGTATAGAAGAGTCCCACATTCTTCCAGAGGAACGTAGAGAAAAACAGCTCCCGGTGACCGTATAAAAAGCCCACGTTTAAAACAGCCACATGCAGTTCAATTTCCTTAAAAGCTTAGCCGGAAAAGGGTTTTGCGGTGTGCGACCCCAGCTGGGCCTGAGCGACAGTTCTGCACACTGGGGCGGGGCCGGGCAGAAGGTGCTCGGAGGAGGATGACTCGCAGTTGTGTTTTGAGTGGTTGCTTGGGTTGTGTTTATCTTGTCCCTCCAGCACACACACGCGCGCACGCTCAGTTTCTTGTCTCGAAAGGGGAACCCTGTATTTTGTAGACAAAAAAGTCACAGAAGCAACTTTCGAAGCAAAAAAATGAAGAAGAAAAAAACCTCAACGTGCAATCTTCCCGGAGGCAAAGAACGGCGCTGTTTGTCCCTTAGTAACTGAGCAACACGCCGGCGACCAGGACTGCCTGTGTCTTCTGCGGTTTTTCTTGCACTTCTCCGCGTTGGTTCACTTCCACCCTCTAAACGCTCCTGAAGTGAAAAGTCGGGCGGGGCGGCCACAGTCCCGGGGCCGCCAGCTGCGCGCGAGGCCCAGCTGCAGGGGGTCTCGGCCCCGCGTCCTGCTCAGCCCCTTCCTCCCACCCGGCCGAGCAGGGGCGGGTCCACGCGGCCTGGGCGCTGCGGCCGGCACGCGGTAGGGGTCGCTGCGCCGGGCGCGCGCTCGCACCGCGCTGAATAACCCAGCCTGGCTGGAGGAGAAAGGAAACCTGCGAGGGAGGCGGCGGCGGCGGCCGGCGAGCGGGTGAGGGAGGAGAGTTCACTTCTACTCGGGTGTCAGCGCGCGGCGGCTGCGGCGGGCGCTGGCGAGGGAGCACCGAGGGAGAGGGTCGCCCGTCTCGCGGAGGCCAGGGGAGGACAGCGAGAGGCGGGTTCCGAGCGCGCCGGTGGGGCGCGGAGCCCGCGAGCCTGGCCAGCGAGGGGAGCCGCGGGGGACGCTCCCCGGGCGGGCCCCCGGAGACGCGCAGGATGCCCCACGAAGACCTGCCGTCGCTGCAGAGACCCCGCTATGGCTGTAAGTGCGCCGGGCGCGCGGGATTCCCGCCGGCTTTGGGGAGTCCCCTCCCCGAGGGCCGCGTTGGAGAAGCCGAGGGTGCCGGTGCGCGCCAGGGAGGGAACGGGAGGGCAGCGGCTGCGTGGCTGGCAAAGTTGGGAGCTGGAGTTGCAAGGGGCAGTGATCGGTGTCCTCCCGCTCTCCTCTCCAAATTCCCAATCCCCAGCTGGCAACCCCAACCTTTCACCCCGCAAACCCCAACGGGGCGCGGGGGCTGCGCTCTGGGACAGACCAGGTTGGGGTTTTAGGGATATCAGGTGAGGAGCCCGCGGAGCTCCAGGCCGCTGCCGGCTCGGGCCAGGGGGTGGCGTAAGGGAATGCATTCTTCCGACCCAGAAGGGGAAGAAAGTTTGTTTGCTGTGGCTACAGGTGGGCACCGCAAGTAGTGTGCCCGCGCACTCTGCTAGTGGCAAAGTTGGCTTTAATGGAGGGGCAGGCGTCTCCTCCTGTCCCGCTCCCTTGGACTTCACCTGAGCCGCTAGAGCCAGTTCTGGCCGCACAGGTGTGAGTCCCTGCCTGCCGAAGTCTCCAGCCCCTTTCCGCCCCCTCCCCGGGAGGATTGTTGTGAGGGCTGACATCGAGAGGATGCGGCTGGGGGATCCGGGGGATCCGGTCGGATCCCGCGTGACTTGAACGATGTGGTGTCGATTACCCAGCCAGGAGCTGCCCTCGGAAAGAGGGTGCTTTGGCCAAACTTAAGTGGAGAGCCAGATTAGCACCAACCACGTGGCTTCATGTGCAGAGTTCAGAGTCCTAAACATGTGCCAGGAAGTATTTCCTTTAAAACAAACAGAAAATTGGCTTTCTTTCTCCAGGGTTGGCCCTGTCAGTGAACTTATGGCCGAGGACCACGGGTTAATCTTTTGCCCGGGCTGGCCTTGGTGGCAGAGGTGCCAGGTTTGGATTAAGGTGGTGATACCTGCAGCAGGGTTTTTTGTTTGGGGAGGGGAGGGAGGGAGTTCTGGTTGGTTGGTAAGGCCACAGACTAGCTTAATTAAAAAAAGCGGTGGTCAGCTTGTATAAGTTCTTTCCTCTACTGAATGGAGTGTCAGAGATGGGAGGTTAGTTTTCCCCTGTGACCCTTTCCGTGTCATGCAGTGAGGAGGAGGCCTGAGGAGTGCAGCTTCTGTACTCTAGGTGCATTCGGCAGTTAACTGGGACCCAGTTTTTGCAGCCTTAAATAGTTTGCAGTTTGGTAAACCACACAGACAGCAGAGCTCCTCCGGCTGGAGGAGGAACTGTGCTCATCCAGTGTTTGCAGTGTCAGCCTCAGGTTGGTGGAAGTACTTGAATGTGACAAACTCTCAACTATGGTAGCTGCACTGTATCAAATGATAAGATGACCACAAAGTCTGGAAGCTAGGTGAATCTATATTAAGAAACGGTTTGTTGCCATCACGTGATCGATGTCAGCCCTCATTAGCAACCCATAGAGCAAGATTTCGGTGAATGTGGTGCATGAATGCAGCATGTCCATCAGTCCCTGCAGGTGCATCTGTGATGTTGCCTGACTATCATCGAATGCATCTGTGGTCTTAGTGCATTGCAGGAGAAGCAATCAAGGGGGTCCAGATCTGGCAAGCCCACCCTGTGGGGCCACTGTCTTTGGAAATCTTCATCCAGCTCTCCTCACTGGTCTGGTGTAAGAGGGTGGTGTGCAGTGTCGTTGGAATTACTCCCAGTTACCTTTCCTCAGCAATGCTGACATTCATTGGTCACTTAACATGGTCAAAAATCACTCTGAAATATTAGGTATTTCATATGGGAGTCTGTGATGTTAAAATGAACATTTTTATAATTTTGATACCAGATTCATGAGTAGTGTATGTTCAGTGTCTTTAAGACATGCTGTCTAGCACGCTATAAAAAAATACACCGTAGTGTTAATAGGCACTACCTAACGTTGCCTATTTGTGCAAAAGAGGGTGATTTGGTGTGTTAGTATAATTCCTGGTGGCTGTTGGCTTTCTAGGCCTATCAACATGAGACTGAAAATAGTGCTGTGAGTTCTTGCCAGGGAAGCCAGGGAAGGGTAATGCAGAATTGTCCTTGCTCTGTTGTGTTCCAGGGCTGTGCTTTTTCTTGTTTATTGCTTTGGTAAGTGCTGGTTCAGTAAAACCTCAATCTACACCAAACAGGCTTTATCCCCAACATTTAAAAATAAAGTACCAGTACATTGCTGTAATTCGGTTCCAGTGCTGAACATTTTGAGCGTAAGATATTTGACACTGGGCTTTAAAAACTTTTTAGTAGTTTGAATTAAGCTGTTACACTTGTTTCAGGTCTGGGCTCCTGTTCTGCGGTCTTCCATAACCCCTTGAATTATCATTTAATTTGGAAGTTCTTTATACAAAGTAGCAAATTAACTCAGTTCAGGGCTTTTAGGGTATCTCCTCTCTTTACCAGGCTGAGTGTCTGTAAAATACCACATAATAAGTTGTACTTAAGGGATTTCTCAATGAGTTCTCCATGAAGGCTCTGACCCTTCTCAGATTTCTGACAGATGAGAGATTGCTGAAGTCTTTCTGGTTTGCACACAGGAGCGCTGAATTAAAATTAAATAGACTTTCTGTTTAATTCCTGCTATTGTTGGCCACATCTTCCTGCAATCTGTGAAGTTATTTTGTGTAATATTAATGCAGAACAAAGCTGAAATATTGGCTCAGTAATCGATTCTGAAGGGAAGGAGTGGAAGAGTCAGTAGCTGCTATACTAATGTAGACATATACAGAATATCTTTTTACACTCAAGACCACATTTAAATGACATTTATACCTATGTATGATTTGCAAATAACTTGTGCTGTTGTAGCAAACTATGGTGTATTTTAATTAATTAATTCTGAAAACATTGCCACCATGATCTGTCAAGTTTTGTTCCAGTCACTTGAGTTTAAAAGGCCAGTGAGAGCAAAAGAGGGGCTTTGTCATTAGACAGATGATTTCACTCACCACTGATAATCCAATCAACATCTAAGCACCTGCTGCGGATCACCAGTGATTGTGCATATGACAAGAACTGTGGTTTTCCACCTTCTGCAAGATCAAGAGAGCCTTCCTGTCATAAGACATTACAAAAATAGTGATTAATGTTTTTCTTGTTCACTTCTTTTAAAAGTGCAGCATAAGTCCAGTGGGTGTGGGGGTGTATTGGGGGAAGATGATTCTGGCTGATGCTGTGAGCTTTTGAGTAATGCTCTTGTCTGAGTGGTGGGGTTTCTAAATCACCGGGTAACTGGGGGTGGTCATTGCAGCTACACTCTTATCTGTTTACAGTGACCTTCTAAGATGAAGAAACTGAAGTTCTGAACTAGTTAAGCCCAGTTGTGTAAAACAGGATTGACTACATCTGTATTTAGCAAAGTTTGGTTCCCACATTCTATCCGTGCGTTCATCTCAACCACGGGAGGATACGTGCGATGTTACCATTTGATGCTGTCTTTAGTAGACAAAAAGTCAAGCCACTCCTTCATGTGCTAGTGTTTTGGTTGAGCTTTTCAAAAGGATCTTTAAGGTCAACAGCTAAAGCGTTATTTTAGTATGCTTTTAACTTTAATTACACATGCTGTTAGCCAAAATGACTTGTTTGGGAGAGTTTAAGCTTGTAATACCAAGTTTGTTTTAGATTTTACTGTTATTTGGAGTGTTAGCTAACCCCTTTTCATTTAGGGAACCAGTGATTTACTATTGCCCCGACCCTCCCACTCCACAGCTTTTTAACAGTTCCTTTTATTTAAAAGGCTAGTATACAAACAGGTCTAATGCTTACCACGTTTTCATGGTAACCAAAAGAGAAACAAAGGCCACTCAACTGATTTGATCAGGTCAGGTAAGTGTTACAGGGCAGACCGTTCAACGTGGGTATGGAATCGAGGTTTGTGACTTACCAAGTGCTGGGTGCTTTTTGTGTTATTGTTATCTGCTCATTATTACCTTTGAGAGGGCCAGTGGTTTCCCCTTTTCACAAAGAAGGTGAAACTCATGTCTCAAGGCCACACAGCTAGCTGGTGGCCAGGGAAACTGGAAAGCAGTACTGTCAGGCTCGGAGCCTCTCCTCGTCGACTATTCCCAGTTTATCTCATGTGTATCCTAGGGGGTTCACCCCTGCTTTCTGTCTTTTTCAGGTGTTTGTCATGATTCTATCAAAATGCAGAAACCTACAGCCATTTTGATAGCGTGCTCTTTTAAAAATAGATGCATGATGTTCTTTAAAGTTGATCTTGCTGTTTTATTTTTCCCTGTGAAAAAATACAGATGAATACTTGGGCTTTTGATAGAGTACATCCAGACATCATCAAAGGATTTTATGCAAACACAGAGACATCCCATCTCTCACTGTGAGGCACTGAAATGAAAGAAATGCTTTTCCATAATGATATAGTGGCATGTGCCAATGATTCCAATTAGGATAATTTGTAAAAAACACTTTAATACTTATACCAGCCATGCCTTAAAATCTGAGATTGATGAGAAATCAGGCAGAAACTTGTAGTGGGGTGACTGACCAGTGGGCTACTTTTTCACTTTACTGCTCTATTTTTTCTCCCTTGAGAGGCTGTATAGTATTGATAAAATGGCAAAAGCTTTGGAGCTGGATATGGGTTTGAATTCTGACTTCCATTGCCTGCCTGAGTAGCCCTGGGGTTTCCTCCTGAACTTTGTGAGGTGAGGTGTTTGGAGACGATATACCTATGAAGGCAGCTGACGTGGTTCCTGGCACATAATGCTAAACAAATTGTAGTCATTTCAATTAAATGAGCACTTAATATGTACAAAGCAGTGTGGATGAAGGGACTCAACTTAGTTACAGCTTACAATAAAATCTGGGAGAGAAGGAATAATAACTGTACTTCTAGTGTACTTCCAGGTTCTGTGGAAGTGAAGACCAGAGAGCAATGGATTTGAATTGGGGCAGTGGGAAGGCTTCGTGAAGGTTGCGAATTTGAACATGACCTTGAAGAA